AAAAAAAAAAAAAAAAAAAAAAAAAAAAAAAAAAAGGAAAAAATGAATAAATCCTTTAAAGAAAGCCAAGGGGGGAAAAAAAAAAAACAGTTGAAAGAAACAAATAAAACTGTTCAAAACCTTAAAATATAAACAAAACCAATAATGAAAACAAAACTTGAAGGAATTCTGGAAATAAAAAGGAACTACAGAGGCAAGTTTCACCAACAGAATTCAAGATACGGCAGACAGAATATCAGGTGATAGAAGAAATAGATACATTGGTCAAAAAAATGTTAAATTAAAAAATTCCTGGCATAAAACTTCCAGGAAATCTGGAAGACCAAATCTAAGAATAATAGGAGTAGAGAAAGGATAAGAATCCCAGCTCAAAGGCCCTGAAAATATTTTCAACAAAATCATAGAAAAAATATTTCTAATCTTAAGAAGGAGATGTCTATAAAGGTGCAAGAAGTATACATAACATCAAATAGACTGGACCAGAATAATGAAAACAGTAAACATACAGAACAAAGAATATTAAAAGCTACAAGGGAAAAGAGAAAGTAACATAAAGGCAGACTAGAAATATGCTTGACTTCTCAACTGAGATTCTAAAAGCCAGGCGGGCCTAAGCAAATGTCGTGTAGACACTAAGAGACCACAGATACCAACCTGAACCCAGCAAAACTTTCAATCACCAATAGATGAAGAAAATAAGCTATTCCACAATAAAGTAAAATTGAAACAATATTTACCTACAAATCCAGCCCTACAGAGGGTACTAGAAGGAAAACCCCAGCCCAAGAAAGTTAACTACACCCATGAAAACACAGGAAATAAATAGTCTTACACCAACAAAATCAAAAAGGAAACACACACACCACCACCACTACCACCACAATAATAATAATTCAGTTATTGGTCACTTATATCTCTCAATATCAATGGGCTCAATTCCCCAATAAAAAGACACAGACTAACATAGTGGATGAGAAAACAGGATCCATCCTTCTGCTGCATATAAGAAACACACCTCAATATCAAAAATAGACATTACCTCAGGGTAAAGGGTTGGAAAACAATTTTCCAAGCAAATGGACCTAAGAAGCAAACTGGTGTAGCTATTCTAATATCTAACAAAATAGACTTCAAACCAAAATTAATCAAAAGAGTTGGCCATAGTGGTACATAACTTTAATGCTAGCACTCAGGAGGGAGAGGCAGGTGGATTTCTGTGAGTTCAAGACCTGCTTAGTCTACAAAGCAAGTTCCAGCACAGCCAAGTTCTAAAGAAACCCTGTATCAAAAGTTGCCCTCTCCCATCTAAAAAAGTAATCAAAGGTAACAGGGAAGGACACTTTACACCCATATATGAAAAAAAAATTGAATAAAATACTCGAAAATCGACTCCAAGAACACATCAAAAGATCATCCACCATGATTAAGTAGACTTCATCCCAGAGATGCAGGGATGGATCAACATACAAAAAATCAATGTGATCTACCATATAAACAAACTGGAAAAACCCCACATAATTATCTCATTAGATGCTGAAAAAGATGTTGGATTTGACAAAATCCAACACCCCTTCAAGAAACAAGTCTTGGAGAGACTAGGGAGCAAGGAACATACCTAAACATAATAAAGGCAATTTACTTTATTTAAATAATCAAAATTCTGGGGACGGGAGAGATGACTCAGGTTAAGAGCACTGACTGCTCTTCCGAAGGTCCTGAGTTCAATTCCCAGCAACCACATGGTGGCTCACAGCCATCTATAATGAGTTCTGGTGCATAATAAGATCTGGTGTATACATAATAAATAAATAAAATCTTAAAAAATAATCAAAATTCTATAGCCAGCATCAACTTAAATAGAGAAAAACTCAAAGGAATTCCACTAAAATCAGAAACAAGACAAGACTGTTTTTCATTTCTATCCAATATAGTACTTGAAGTTCTAGCTAGAGTAACAAAACAACTGAAGGAGATCAAGAAAATACAAGTTGGAAAGGAAGAAGTCACAGTAGTGTTATTTGCACATGATATAAGAGTATACATAAGCGACACCAAAAATTCTACCAGGGAACTCCTACTGTTGATAAACACCTTCAAAAAAGTGGCTGGACACAAGATTAACTCAAAAGAAAAAAATCATATACAAGTAACAAACAAGCTGAGAAAGAAATCAGGAAAACAACACCCTTCACAATAGCCATAAATAATATAAAGTATCTTGGGATAACTCTAACTAGGCATATGAAAGACTTTCTTCAAGTCTTTGAAGAAAGAAACTGAAGAAGCTATCAATAAGTAGATCTCCTATGCTAACGGATCAGTAGGATTAACATAGTAAAAATGGCCATCCTACCAAAAGCAATCTACAGATTCAATGGAACTCCCAACAAAATTCCAACACAATTCTTTATAGACTTTGAAAGACTAATACTCAACTTCATAACTTCAGGAGTTATCACCATACCTGATTTCAAGCTGTATTACAGGGCAATAATTAAAAACTGTATGGTATTGACATAAAAATAGACAGTTGGTCAATGCAATCAAATCAAAGACACAGATATAAATCTACACACCTATGGACACCTGATTTTTGATAAGGAAGCCAGAAATACACAATGGCAAAAAGACAGCATCTTCAACAAATGATGCTGGTTTCTAACTGGATGTTTACAGGTAGAAGAATACAAATGATCCATATCTATCACCCTGCACAAAACAAGTCCAAGTGGATCAAAGACCTCAACTTAAAACCAGGTATACTGAACCTGATAGAAGAGAAAGTGGGGAATAGATCTGAATGCATTGGCACAAGAGACAATCCTAAAAAGAACACCAATAGCACAGGCACTAAGACTGACAATTAATAAATGGAACCTCATGAAACTGAAAGCCTTCTGTAAGTCAAAGAACACCATTAAAAAGTCAAAATGGCAGCCCACAGAATGAGAATTTTTTTTTTTCACTAACTCCACATCTGACAGAGGGCTAATATCCAAAATATATAAAGAACTCAAGAAAGTAGATACAAATAAGCCAAATAATCCAATTTAAAAAATGGGGAACAGATCTAAACAGAATTTTCAATACAGAAATCTCAAATGGCTGATAAACACTTTAAATGTTCAACATCCTCAGCCATCAGGAAAATACAAATCAAAAGGACTTGAGATTGATTCTCTCCTATACTTGTCAGAATGGCTATGATCAAAACACAAATGACAGCTCATGCTGGTGAGGATGTGAGGCAAGGGGAACGTTCCTCTATTGCTGGTAGGAGTGCAAACTTGTACAACCACTTTGGAAATCAGTCTGGAGGTGTCTCAAAAACTGGGAATCGATCTACCTCAAGACCCACTATACTACCTAAAGGATGCTCCATCCTAGGATACTTGTTCAACTATGTTCATAGTGGCTTTAGTCATAACAGCCAGAAACTGGCAACAAACTAGATGCTCTTCAACCAAAGAATGGATAAAGAAATTGTGGTAATTTACACAATAAAGTATTACTCAGGTTTTTGTTTTGTTTTTCAAGACAGGGTTTCTCTGTTTAGCCCTGGCTGTCCTAGACTCACTCTGTAGACCAGGCACGGAGGTCTGCCTGCCTCTGCCTCCCAAGTGCTGGCATTAAAGGCATGTGCTACCACCATCCAGCAATATTACATTTTAAAAATTTGTATGAGCACATATGCTATGGCACGGGCAGAAGTCAGGGGATAACTTTGTGGAATCAGTTCTCTCCTTCTACCATGTGCATTCTGGGGATTGAACACAGGTTGTTAGACTTGGCAGCATGTGTCTATACCTGCTGAGCCATCTCAGTCCTACTCAGTTGTTTAAAATAAAAAAAGACACTATGGAATTTGCAGGCAAATGGATGGAACTGGAAAAAAATCATCCTGAGACCCAGAAAGACAAATATAGGCTGTACCCACTTCTAAGTGGATATTAGATGTTAAATAAAGAATAATCATGCTACAATCCACAAACTCAGAGAGGCTAAGTAATAAAAAAGGCTCTAGGGTATGGTTGGGGCTATTGTATCTCCCTGGGAAGTGGAAATACAAAAGATTTTGTGGGTGGACTTGGGATGGGAATAGGAGGGATCAGGTGGTGGGGAGATGGAGGGAAAGAGTACTGGCAGAGACTAATAGAATTGGAGGGCATGTGGGGGTTTAATGTGGAAACCTAGTGTAGTTAAAAACTCCCTGAAATTCACGAGGGTGACCCTATAGAGGACTCCTAGTAATGGAGATATGGAACCTGAACCACTCATCTTCTGTAATCAGGCAAGGCTTCCAGTGGTAGGAATTGCACCAGTCCAGCCACAAAACCTTTGATCTACAATCTCTTCTGCATGCAAGATGTGCAGGGGCAATGGTGGCACAGAATTTGTGGGAATAGCCAACTAATGACTGGTTTAATTTCAAGCCTACCCCATGGGAGGGATCCCATGCCCAACACTGCCTGGATGACCAGGAACAGGAGGCTGGATAGCCTAGAGACCTAAGATAGAACCACACACTAGACACACACACACACACACACACACAGTAAATGAAATGATTGCTAGTGATGTTCTGCTAAACTCGTAGACCTCATATATTGGTGCCTAGTCCAGTTCTCATCAGAGAGGCTGCTTCCAGTTAGGAGCAGATGCAGAAGCCCCAGCCAAACAGGTGGAGAGAAAGGCCAGGTTGGAGGTCTCCACTAGATGCTTCCCTTTGGATGGGAAACCCAGAGGATGAGGGGGAGGAGGAATTGTGGGAGCCAGAGGGGTTGAGGACATGGGAGAGCATGGCCTTTGGAATCAACTCAGCAGGGCTCACAGAGACTGAAGCAGCAATCATGAAGCCGATAGAGGTCTGCACTAGGTCCTCCGCACATGTCATAGCTGTTGGTTTGGTATTTTGGGGCAGGGGTGGAGTCCTGACAGTGGGGATGGGGGCGTCTCCAACTCTTTTGTCTGCTTTTAGGACCCTTTCCCTCTACTGGGTTGCTTTGTCTGGCCTTGTGCCTGGTTTTATTGTGTGTTGTACTATGTTCGGGTGATATCCCTGGGAGGCCTGATCTTTCTGAGTGAGATGGGGGGTAGGGGAGAAGGTGAGGAGGGTGGATCTTGGGGAAAGGGGAGGTGAGGAGGGACCAGGAGGGGTGGAGAAAGAAGCTGTGGTTGGGATGTAAGAGAAGAATAAATAAAAATTAAAAAAATATTTATGTCTACAGCATGACTAACTGAGCTGGCCCCATTGATAATGCCATGTCGTTCCCTGTTTTTGTTTTACTTCCAAGGTCAACTCACCTCTAGTTGGAACTTGAGGTGCTCCCGCATGCTCTCAAAGAGTAAGAAACATACTCGTAGGGAAGCAGCATAAAGGTTCAGTCGCTCCACGCTGAGTAGCTGGGGATCAGAGAGTAAGAAGCCGTGAAGTCCCTGAGGTTGAGTATAATTCAACCAACAAAGAGGGGAGAGCAGGCTAGTGAGGCTGCCACAGAGGTCTGGGTTCTAAGGGACTCTTTATTTTCTGTTGTTTGCTTTAATAAAAAGCAACAACTTTGTTTTACATTCATTTATTTGTGTGTAGGAGGGGGAGCAGGGACATATGAAAAGGTACACCCCATGGGAGTTGTTTTTCTCTGTCTACCTTCTAGGTTCCAGGGATCAAACTCAGCATGTCAGGCTTGATGATACATTCTTACCCGCTGAGGTACTTGCTGGCCTGTTTTTTTTGTTTGTTTGTTTTGGTTTTGGTTTTGGTTTGTTTTGGTTTTGGTTTCTGAGATAGGGTCTCATGTAGATGAGGCTGGCCTCAACCTCATTATGTAGTTGAGAATAACCTTGAATTCCTGCTCTTCCTGCCTCTCCCTCCCAAGTGCTGGAGGTATAGGTATGCACCACCACACGATTTAGCCATTCCTTCCTCAAGTCTTTGGAGAGCTACTGGAATCCTTTTGTTGTGACTTTTGAACAACTGAAAGGGAGATGGTTTCTTAGGATCAGTAGTCATAGTGTTCTCCTGGCTTCTCAATCTCAAAAAATAACCAAGATCTCTGGGCAATCTAGTCTTACCTGGAATAAGTGACGGCACATCTCATCCTTGATGAGTCCCAAGAGGGTCTGGCACTGGGCTACCGGGGCTGACTCAAGAGCTACCGTCAGCAAATGTAGTCCCATATGGATCATAACCTCTGAGTTATGGCGGTCATGTGGATTTGTGAGGGAGATAAGGAAGCGGAAGAGCTCACGGATGCAAGGAAGGCCATAAGGAACCAAAGCTGTACCTGAAAAGATGGGAAGAGACCAAGAACAATAAGACATATCCCAGCTGCTCAACACATGGATCTGTGTTATCCGTGACAAAAACTGTGTGTGTATGTGTGTGTGTGGTACATACATGTTCCATGCATGCATGGTGTGGTGTGCAGGTATATGTGACACAGTGTGTGCATTTAGAAATCACAACAAGATGTCAGATGTCTTCCTCTTATTGCTCTCTGTTTAACTGCCATAAACAGGTCTCTCACTGATTTGGAAATTCACTGTTTTAGCAAACTCTCCAGACCCACATATCTGCAGACTCCAATGCTTGGGTTACAGGCATATGTAGCCATGCCTAGCTCTTCACATGGGTACCAGCAATTTGAACTCAGGTCCTCATGCTTGCAGAGAAGCAATCTTACCCACTACTGAGCCATCTTCCAGTCCTTACCAGGGAAATTTCCGGAAATGAATTTTCTTCAAGGAAAAGGATCCACTACTCATTTCTCAATGGATGAAATCAGAATCAGGGACTTTTGTTAAGTCCTAAGGTTTATACTGTTCCCTCTCTTTCCATAGTCTCTCTAACTCCTCTGAATGACTTAGGGGAAGGTTCCATCAACACCAATAGTTTTATGGCTTGATTCCATTTCTTAGTCTAGAAAATGGATTCACAGGAGATAGTCACCCTCATCCAAGCTGCTCAGAGAGTTTATCCAGTAGGATGGGGTAGATGAGTGGGCAGAGCCTTCCAGAGAGTACCTACCTTCCTTCTGGGAAGACTGGGTAAAGCGCACGCCCCGAGGATTGACATAGTCCATATCATGGACAGAGGCAGAGTCAGAGTGGTCAGTAGGGGATGTGCACTCCTCCAACACTTCAGGGATAGATTCCACCGATGCTGACTGAGCCTTTTCCACAGGAGCCCCTTCCTGCTATCACCAGCAGCATTCAGACAAGGAACAGAGATAAGGCAAAAACAACTTAGAATTTATTCCCCTGAAGTATTATATGGCTTCCAAGCTATCTTCAATAGACTATAGTTCATTGGCTTATGAAGCAATATAAGATTTCCCAGGACGACCTGAGGCCTCAGTGCTCCAGGGTAACAGAACTCTACAGGTGCAAAAGCTCTCACAGGTTAGAATTTAGATGATTAGCTTCCCTTGTCAGATATCACCTATATTGACAATGAGAACTCTCACAAACTTCTTTTCAAAGCAAGTCATACTGTGTATTTTCTGGGTAGCAAAAAAGTCATGGAAAACAGGAAAGAATTCTATCCCAACCTTCTTTCTTTCTTTCCTTCCTTCCTTCCTTTCTCTCTCTCTCTCTCTCTCTCTCTCTCTCTCTCTCTCTCTCCTCTCTCCCTCTCTCTTTCTTTCTTTCTTTTTTTTTTTTTTTTTTCAAAAGACATGTTTCACTATGCAGCTCTGGCTGTCCTGGAACTCAATCCGTAGACCAGGCTGGTCTTGAATTTACAGAGATCCACCTGACTCTGCCTTCTGGGTGCTGGGATTAAAGACATGTACCACCATGCTTGGCCTAACCTTCTTAGCCAAGGCTTAGATACAAAGCCCAAAAGAACAAGCCAATTCCTACAGTGACAGATTGAAGAGGAGCCTTTAGAAATCAGTCATACCTGAGGGTCAAGATGATCGGAAATTCCTATCTCATTGCTCCCAGGCTCCGTGGCTGTGTTTTCCCTTGGGGAGCCAGCTTGCTCCAGGTCAGTGAGGTCCTCCTTGGAAGTGGTCTGGGAGGATAATTCCAGGCCACTATCTGTACAGGGACTGACAACTGCTGAAGCAGCTTCCGAACTTGCAGAGGAGATGGATGTGGGCACATCAATGAAAGGCACACCACCTGACAAGGAAAGAATGAAACTTGAAGGCCAAGAGAGGCTCTGTGAGTAAAGCATCCTTTATGGTACTAGGCTCTTGTTTCTTAGGTTGGATGTTTATCTATAAATGCCTCTAGAGTAGTGAGAATCTCTCTGAAAATGGAATGAACTGAAGTTATTTATTGCAGGGTCATTGGATGGTCATAGTTTGATTTGATTTGGAGTTTCCCTTTCTGTTCTCTGTGAAAGACCAAAGCCCCTCCCTCAGTTGACTTTCCATTTCAACCCCCCCCCCCCAAAAAAAAAAAAGGATCTTCTCAACAGAAGCAACCCAGGGCACTTACCAGTAAGGTTAGAGGATAAGGTGGCTCCATTTGGGGTTGGCAGCTCTGAACCTGGTATGACTTTGGTGGTATGACGAGGAGGTCGAGGAGATCTTTTCTGTTTCTTCCACTTCGATGAGTCACTCATGCCTCCTGCTCTCATTTTCAGCTGGAAATACCATATATCATTAGTATTCAGACTAAATGAGTATTTAAACTAAGTCGTTATTCCTAGAAATACCTCATCACTTAGTCCTCTGGTCTCTAGAAAATAGCTTATACCCCACATCGGTGTTAGACCATCAGATTATACACCGATGCTTCTACATTTGTGGCTTTTTGGAGTTGCAAGGTGGCCTACACATGGAAGGTAACAGTCTGCTTTTGGACTAGTCATTGATATAGGCAGGTGTCACACTTATCACTCTGCTTCTTGGGTCCCCGTTGCTGGGCATGATGCATGAGCCTCTTGCTGAAAAGGTTAGGGCAGGCTTTGCCAGAACCTCAGCCTGCAGACCTGTGGAGAGGCTTTCTTCTACAGTCACAATGCAGGGTAGCCCCTAGTTCTAGTTCTTGTGCAGCTATGACACCTACTCCTTCCTACCTAGATTCAAAGCTTTTTCACTAATGAACAGACTGGGATTTAAGACCATAAGGACAACTCTTTTTCTGAAACTTTTACATTAAAATGATGGTCAAAAATTATTATTTTTTTTTTTTAGAGAAAAGAGTGACACTCCAACTTATTTGTGGAGTTAAGAATAGAGGGCCACGCCATGTTGCTGCTCCCAGTTTTGATATAGCAGTAAAACTCTCGTTCTTTTCACAGTTGTCCTTCCTAGATACACTTTATTTATTTTATTTTATTATGTTATTTTCTTTTTCAGACCTGGGCAGGTCTCAAACTCACTATGCAGCTAAGGATGTCCTAAAGCTTTTGTGTTCAGCTTCTACCTCTCAAGTCCTGGGATTACAGGCATGTACCCCCCCCAACTCCACTTACATGGTGCTGAGGCTCAAACCCAGGCCTTTATATACACTAAGGAAGGACTCTGGCAAATGAGCTATAACCCCACCCCCAGCACCACAAGATGCAATTTTGAAGAATCTACTCAATTTCTTCTGATATTTGGAGATAAACTCTTTCTTCAAGCTCCCTCACTCTCAAAGCTTTGATAGCCTCTGATCACGCCTGCTAAGATAATTTTTCTTTCCTTCCCCAAATCTCTTCCTAATAAAGGAGGCCCCCAAACCAAACCTTCCTCTCAGGTTTTAACACAGCGCCAGTTTCTCATTAGATTCATATTCTTGTTTCTCCATCTCCAAAACACCTGCAGTCATATGCCTAAAACTGAGCTTCTGTGACTAAACAGGAACCAGAAGGAGGTTCGTGCTACTAAGTCACCTTGGAGTGCAGGTAGATCACTCTCATGGTAAAAACTGATCTGGGAGAAGAATAAGCCAAACAAAGGGTAAAAAGCCCAAAGGATCAATGAAAGAAAACAAGGCTTTACAAGGTCATTATCACTAAGCTCCAAAAAGTCCAAACCACTAAAGGTTTATGAGATAACTCTCCTTTCCAGGAGGCTCCACTATATCAATCCCATTTCTACTAAAAATGACATCAGTAATGAATATCCTTTCCAAAAAAAAGCAGCATTTCCTGTCTTCCACTCTATATTCAGCAAAGCTAGCTCCAACTGGGTTATTTCAGCGAGTGTTCCTGGCCTTCTGACTGATACAGGAGCCTGAAGGCTGACAGTTTCATAAACACCTCACTGTTACTATGTTCCCTGTCCTAAGTTTCTAAGGTACATTGTAGGTAGCAGGTGTCCATGGAACCCTACACCACTTCATCTATACAATTCTATATTCCAAAAGACAACAGTAGCTTTATAAAAATATTGCAGGTCTTAGGCTAATAATCCATGGCAACATGCAAGCTAGTCACTGAAGACAGCTCATATTGGTAACTATGCAAACAGAATTCGAGACAATGCAATTAAATAGGACAAGGACACACCTCTAGCTAGGGAACATTCATACACAGACTTATTTTCTCTTCAATGACACGAGTGTTTACAAGCACACCTCTGGCATGCACACTCTTGTGATGGATAACCTAAACATCCCTTTCTTTTCATCTTTCAAAGGCAAGGATATCTCAAGGGGTCAGGTAATCTTTAACTTATACTCCGCCCTTAAACGCATCTACATCTTGAATTTTAAAGGACAGAGGGTATCTCTGTAGAGTCTAGAAAATTCCCAGTGTCCAGGGCTATTCTGGTCCCTAGTTCCTTTCTATCTAACAAGAAATCTAACCCTTGCAGTGATCCCTTTTATGTAACCAAAAAATTAAAGACCCTCACAGGATGAACCACCTTTCCCCACCAGCACAGTTAGGTACCTAGATCTATTTAAGGACTATGCTGAAGCTCCCTACACCAGCTCTGAGACAGGGGAGGGGAGAAGGAAGGATCTTGCTTGAGGTTCCTGTAGTTTCCCTAGAAATGGTAGGTCTTAAGCCTCCCAACAAGATGACAGCAGGACCTAGGTTCTCTAGGCTCATTATGTAATGTTCAAGACTTAATTCTTCTTCCAAGCAACCAGAAATCCCAGAAGAATCCCCAGTACTGAAAAGCTACAAACACATGCAACTCTTTAAAAGCCAAGCTGTGTTACTCAAGTGGGTAAGTTGTGCTTTCAACAACAGAAATGGGACCCAGTGTTATATATAAAAATAAACATTTAAATAAATAAACAAACAAACAAACAAATAAATAAATAAATAGGGGGAAAGGAGAGGGAGAGGGAGAGAGACCTTGAGGTTCTTAAACAGTAGAACCCTCTCTAACTGGTTCAGGGCTTTGGTCTGCTCCCCACTACTTAGCTCCAGTTTGTTGAGGAGACATGGAGAAATCTGTGAAAGACAGGCAAATGCACGATTTAACAGAGTGAAATAAACTCAGACACGCGCCAACAGGGCACAGGGCAGGAATGGGGAAGAAAAGGAGGGAACAGGGGCAGGTCAGGTGCATGCACCAAATAGCCAAGGGTCACTTCTATGGGCAGAACCTCATCAGAGGTCTGAGAAATCCAGAGTTCCAACTCAAGATAGAAAGAGGCCATCCTGATCACCATTCTCTTCCTAGCAGTCTGAGAAGCCTTTGATCTGGAGTACAGCTTGATTTGATCTCTTCAAAAGAGACTATACCAAGCACAAGCCCAGTCTTATTCAGCATTAGGGGAGGATTTGGGGCACAGCCTCTGTAGGACTCTTGCTTGCTGATAAGAATGAACCAAATGGGATGGCCAGATTTTCATCTTTGTCAACATGCATCTTTAGCCCAGCTTGATAAGCCTTGTCTAGTTCCCTTAAAGGACTGGCTTACCAGCATATGTGGTAGGTCAACAAAGACAGGTAGGTCAGAAAGGAAAGGTTGAGGAAGGAGAGGTGCATTTCTGACTAAAGGAGTGACAGCTATTTGTAGATTACAAGTAGCCCCATCTAGGCAAAAGCATGTCTTTGCTACTAAACAATAGTACTCCATAGCACCGAAGTTTGGAAGTCACGGAGGTTTGGACAAGGACAGCAGACGAACTTTCACCCCACCTTCTTCATGTTTGTTCCCACATAGCTCTTGGGCTCTTCTTTAAACTGAGGTAACCTGTAAGATAGGGAACGGCATGACTGTCACTGGGGATAATGGCAATGTTCTCTAATACCATTTATAGCAAAGGTTTATTAGCCTACACAATCCTTGTCTCTTAGTTTAGTCTTATGAAATGCTAGAGAAAAGGTAACTTCATCCCTTTTAGAGCTTAAGAGCCATAGGAATGGAATATGTAAGATACAGACAAATTGGTCACTGGGGCAGGGTAACTAAACACCCTTGAAGTATAAAAGGTTATTTTCATCCTTGAAAAATACTGCTGAAAGCCAAGAGATAGTTAGGCACAGAGAAAGTAGTAAAAGCAGGCTGGTGTTTTAGACGCAATAAATCCATGGAGCAAGAAACTCTTGGTAGCAGAATCGAAGGGCATTCTAACGTGCAGATAATAGAGATTAGGCCTGAGAGTAAGAAGAAATTCTATTGGCAGGTTTACAAGTCATTGCTTAAATTCTCCTCTTCTCTTTTGACAAGAGATATAGAATAGACAATGAGATCTAGGACAAAAAAGCTTCCTGGGCTCTAAAATGAGGGAGTCCTTCCCACAAACATCAAAGATCATGGTTTTCCTGGGACTAAGGGGTTTGCCAGGATATGGAATTTTAATCCCAGGCAAGTCAAGATAAGGGCCAATAAGTCAGCTTTTGAAACTGTTGGTAGCCTTGGCCTTCTTTTGCAGAAATTAGGCCGAGCTTGGGAAACTCAGCAACCTATTCCAGGCTGCTTAAATTTGGCATCGTCTCTAGGTTCCCTTTCCCAGATGCTACCTGCACAGAAACAGACACAAGTTTAGGAAGCAGAGCTTAAATAACCCTCTGTCTCCCTGAGGCCACAGCAGCTCTCTCTTCCTTCTCCCTTGTTCAGTAACCCTGGGCCCAGAGAACTACTGCTATCTATAATACCAGTGGCCTCTGATGTGGTTGTGGGGTTGGCCAGGTCCCTAAAGTGGCTGTGTGGAAGCAGGCAGACTCAAGAGGCCTGGGCAGCCGGGCAGAAGCAAACAGCAGCAGGTTTACCTTGTGAAGAGCAGCTGCACCATGTCTACGAGAGTGTGCTCTGCGGATTTTCTCAATAACTCTGCACAGGCAAAAACAAATAACACAGGTGTCATTACTTGCTGTGCTATTATCAGGAGACTTCTCAGAGCAGACTCCCCTCCAAACTGTGTTTACCAAGGATTATGCCAAACTTATTAAAACCAGCTCCAGCTCAGCCTGGTAGCTATAACTTTACCAGACCGCTAGGTGGTACTATGGAGTCAGGAAAAAGGGGACACACTAGAAGGGTTTTCTTGGGTTATCAATTGGTGTCAATCCTAGAAACCCTAAGGGAGAAGATTTGGCTCTGGAACTGAGTCAGTCTAAGAGTCATCCCAACTCCTGCCCAGGAACAATGAGTTGAGAATTCTATTCTCAAAATCCTAAGGTTAGCCCAGAGATCCTGCTTCTCTGGGCTTCAGAGACAGCATCTTGCTTATACTCAGGTACCAGCCCAGGAAGGTCAAAGAGCTAGTATTCAAGCACCTACCACTGAGCCTCATTTCAAAGCAAATCCGGAAGCAAGACTGCATAATCTCACATACAGATTCATTTGTTAAGTGGGTACCAACTGGGGTTAGCAACAGAGTTCGGAGAACCTACAAGGAAGAAAGAAAACATTGTGTTGAACAAAGCAGGCTAAGTAAAGCTTATCTGGAGGTAGAAAATGCACATAGCAGGTAAATTCATCATCATCATCGCCTGTGTTGTGTACATGGTCATGTGTGTTTGTGTGTGTGCTACAGGCAGGTGGAGACCAGAGAATAACATGGGTATCAACCTCAGAAATGTGCACCAACTTCTTTTAAGGCTGGGCCTTTCACTGATGAGCTCATCAGTGAGGCCAGATTGGATGACCAGAAAGCGCCCAGGATCCTCCTGTTCTGTGCTTCTCTGGGATTACAAGTATACTCACCATCATGCCTGGCTTTTTACATGAGTATTGGGGATCTAACACTCTATGCTTTTCATGCTTACAGGGCACACTGTTTATAAACTGAGCTATGTCCTCAGTTCTTTCTCTTAAAAAAAAATTATTTGCTAATTCACATGTGCTAAGCAAGTGCTCTACCAGTGAGCCACACACTTAGGGGTGAGGGGTAAAGTTCTCTTTACCTCTTATCTGTTTTGTTTTTGTTTTGTTTTGGGATAAGATCATGCTGTTTAGTCCAGGTTGGGCTAAAACTTGTGATCTTCCTGCTTCTAAGACCTTTGATTATAAATTTCCATGACCACGTCCAATTTCAGAGATTTTTTTTCTTTTTCCTTTTTTTTTTAATTAGTAAGAATTCTGACCTCAAAGCTGGGTGCAACGTCACATGCTTGTAATATTAGCACTTGGGAGATTAAAGCGTGAAGAATAAGAATTCAAGGTCTTTCTTAGTCATATGAGACCTTGTCCCCACCAAAACAAACAAACAAAAACCCTAAAAATTAAAAAAAAAAAGTAAGGTCATTTCAGGTGGAAAATTCCAAGGGAATGATCCATCTCTTGGTCAGTATTTAATATTTGCTTTAGGTTTGGTTCAAAATGGTGGAGTTTTGTTTTGTTTTGTTTTTCCCGGCAAAATTCAGGATTAACATATGGAGGCCCACAGCAAGATAACTATCCAAAATTCTGCTTTCACTCCGGATACTCGAGTGGTGTGTTGCCAGGGGCACACACACCTTGAGATGGCTGACCCAGCTACCCGAGGTCCTGGGAAATATGTTACCCTCTACAGACTCCGAAGGTGAACCACACAGTCAGAGAAAAGCAGCAAGCAGTTTTTTAGCTAGCTTCCTGTTGGTTCCTGGATTCTGGTTAAGGGGTACCATATCTGATGAACCAGGAGAACATGACAGGATTTGTACACC